TGACGCTACTTAGCCACTCAGATCTGTGCATTACGATGAGCACTGAGTCTCGAGTGAGTGATGCACATACAGAGGAGGGACGAGGCGAGAAACAGCAGTCGGAGAAGAAAGTGAGTCAGAGGGATATTATTTCATATGGCGCGCTCTAAGAAGAGAAAACTGACAGTAAATATTGTTGAAATGTTACTGAATAGTACTTTATTTGTTTTGCCATTCAGTTGTTGACTGTATAAGATGTTGATATACATACTTGGCTACTTCAGTAAACAGTATATGGCACTGAATCATGATGAATGTTAGACATTATGATGTTCCGGACCTTCGCTTGAGGAAATTTTCTTTGACTGGACCTTATTGAATTTTAATTAAAGACCTCTGGTCTAGACCCTGGGCAGAAGGGACAGCTCTTGGTCATGACATGTACATGCAGTTTATTATATTATTATCATGTTACGATGTTTGCTCGTCACTTTAACAGATGTCCTCTTCTTCTCTCTTAACAAATAATTGCAGCTTGAACAAAAAACTTATAGCCGAAAGATGGCACCTGAAAGCAGCGTGACCAAGATAGAAAATCAAGCTGTTAATGAAGACTACGATAAGAACAGAGTTTGTATTCCCAGTCACTTCTGGACCACTTACTGCTGTCTAGACAACAATCTGAAAGTGAAAGCTTCAGGTGCTTTCATAGGAGAGAATGCAAAGAATGTAAAGGGAAGGAAACGACAATAAGGAAGCTAGATAGAAATCTGAGTGATCTCTACGATAAACTTTTCTGTGTATTTGGTGGTAACTGTAATTAATCCAGCTCTGCTCCTCGGAGGTTCAGGTTAGTTGGTTTCAACATCCAGTTCAGTCTCACCAAAAAGAAAAAAACAAACTCTAAATCATGTTGGAGAACATCCCACGCATCAGAAAATAAATTAAAAAAAATGATCTAAATCCTTTGTCTCTTTACTTCCATAAAGAAATCCACACTGCGTTTATGCTGCACTTTTAATCAATGATTTCTGTCAGTGAACTTTCATAAATCACTTTGTAAACTGTTCGTCGTTAACATTGTTTTCTCTCTGACTTCAATAAACCACATGAAAGAATGAATTCTTGCACATTAAGCCAAGTGTTTGTTGTTGTTGCTGTTGTTTTTTTATTTTTATTTCTTTAGGTTTTAGATATTAATACCAATTTGGCCTCACCACTTTTAGAGGTGTGGAGTCACTTGGAATCCCACCTGTGACAAAATAAGAGACCCCCCCCCCACCCCACCCCTAAAATTGTTAAAAATGTTGACTTTAGTCGACCCCACATCTGTTACCTGGAGGAAAGGAGCCACTAGTTAGTTTGATGTGTATGGATTAGTGAATAGTAAAAGGGCAAGTTGACCCTGTTTTTAAGTTTAGAAAAACTTTTTTAATGCAATTTAAATACATTGTACAAGTATCAAATAGACCCCTTGGTACAGTAGATCGTGCCCCTCTGCAGATCGTGGAAGTGCTCTCTTGGTTTGTGTGTTTATTATTTTAAGATCCGTTTCAGCGAAATGAGGTTCGGCCTCACCCCAGAAATAGAGCTCAGCTCGAGTTCTGTGAGCTTCATTGCTCTTCAGCACCCCCTCTTGTGCAGCACAGGCTACATGTAGTTGGCACTTTCCATGAGCAGAGTTCAATTTATGTCCCATTAACTTTTTTATTTCTATGAAAATTGAAAGGATCTGTACTTTAATGCCCCACTGACATTGAACTTCTCTATGAAATATAGTCATTGACATCAACCAGGAACACCATCATTATAATGTTATCTGGCTCCTTTCCAAACAATTTAATATTAAAGTAATAAATGTTGTCAAATATTTCATTTAATTGAACAAAACAGTCATTTTAACTTAGTGTACAACATTTATTATGATATACACAGGGTGTTGCATCATCTTGTTTGCTGCAGAATGACCATCAGACAAAAAATTATTCTCTATTTTCTAAATTTACACACACACAAAAAAAAAAAAACAATTTGGCTGCAGTAAAGCTTGATTATTATACATATTGTAACACCGATAAAAAGTGGCAGGTGAGACCATAATTTCTGCATGTGTAAACTATCTTGTTTTTGGTAGTTAGCATGCAACATGTTCACCCGGTCAATCTAACCTCTCCTGAATGCTGCTTATTTTAGGCTAAATTTGCAATCCTGTAACCCATTTTCACCTTCAGTGTTTTTGTAAATGGCAATGGGCAAGAAAGTGAAGGTGGAAATGAAAATGTCATGAAACATTTTAATGAAAATATGTCTCAGTTCTTCAACTTTACCTTCTATGTTTATATTTTTTTTACTGCATTAACATCAACTTAAAGGGGCTCCACCCTGTAACTCACTTCAATCCTGTTAGCCAAATTTCAACCCTGTTATTCAGTCACAAAAAAAAAAAATCAAGAAAACTTTGATATACATATAGTCTCTGATTTGACAGTTTGAGGTGGGAAAATAAATTAATTTCTGAAGGTTAAGCTTTTGTAAAAAAGAAGATTAATACTTTGTAGAAAAGAAAAAAACAAAGAAAACCAAAAAAAAGAAAAAAGTACATTTTTAAAGAGTTTTGAGGCCTAAAATGAACTCAAGACTGAGACTGAATGAGGTTGAGACCATGACAAGACATATGAATATGCAAAATTTGGTAAAGGACAACAAGCACTAGTTTACCAGGCCAGGTCACAGAGCTGCTCTGATATTCAGATCCACACCAAACAACTGAACCACACTAAGGCTACGTTCACACAGCAGGTAAAAGTGGCCCAAATCTGATTTTCTTACCAAATCCGATTTTTTTGTTTGGCTGTTCACACTATGTGATCTGTATGCGACATCAGTCTGAACAGATCAGCTCCTAAACCGACCCACATGCACAAAAGAACAATGCTTGACGTGGCTCGTCCAGAGGTAGACAATCATAACGACTAGCGAACGCCTGTCGCTCCCGGAGCTTCAGTTTCAGGAGCGATTATGACGTTCCAGTGGTTGATAGCTGGGCTCATCACCCAGAATGTATTCGAGTTCCCCGTAAAAGGGCGCGTTGTTCAGCCACGGCCACTTCTTTGGTTCGTGTCCTCGGATAAGTCTCTTCTAATTTTTATACAGAAACAGCATAAATGTTTATTCTCAGCAATGAAATTGAGTCTCAGCAATGAAATTATGGCGAATGTCGAGTAGGATTGGCGTAAAAGTCGCAAGAATTCAGGCCATTCAGACTGAGTCACATCGCAGATCGGATATGGATCAGATTTCAGTACCACAAATGAAAGTGTCTCAAATCAGAATGGAAAATGTCAGATTCAGTGTGTTTATCTGTTCACACTGACAGACAGATACACATCTGTGTCACATATGAAGAAAAAGATTGGATTTGGGCCACTTTTACCTGCTGTGTAAACTCATGAGGGAATTCAACACCAGAACATATTTTTTTCCAGTGCACAATTTTGCTGTACTGTCTGCTGCTTTAACATTTCACTGTTTACAAATGTTCATTTCCTTACAGTATTGCAATACAAGCAATAAAATAATAATATATGTTTGATTATGGACCGTGAAGCATATTTCTGTCCGAGCATAAGTTTATATTGATATACACATAGACATTGGTATACACGTTCTCTATTTTCTGTTTTTCAAGTTTGTAATTTAGTCAACTTTAGCCTTTACAGTCCACAATCCAAAGAAAAGAAAGAGATACAATATCACCAAAAATAAACTGTTGTGTGTCTTTAGAAAATGACCTGGGTATGAAAACAGCCTGATGTTCTCAGAAATGTTAGCTAACAAATATCCACCTACTGAAGCAGCATCAAAACAAACACTGACACTGTTCATGATCAGGATCAGAGGAGGGTAGAGGAGCCTAAATCAATACTCAAGCAAAAGTATTCATACTTGCATGAAATAATCAAGCACCTTCCCCCAAAACAACTTAAGTAGAAATACAAAAGAAGCAGGTCAAAAATCTACTTAAGTACTGACAACTGCGGTGGAACGTTTTACTACATCCAGCATTTATCAGCATTGGAACTGAAGATTGTGCAGCTCTGTTCTTTTCTTTTTTGGGATTATTTGGTCTAAAATACAAAGCTCCAAAGTCAGAGATGTAATAAATTACAATGCAGTATGAATGTTGTAAATAAATAAATGTAGATGTAAATGTAAAAATCGGCACCATCAAAACAAATTGAAATTAAAGACAAAAATGGAATTAGTATCGAAATACAAAGGGCTAAAATGTAACAGATCCGTTTCAAGAGATCCGTTAACGTGCTAATGTACAACCCCAATTCCAAAAAGTGTAAAATGTAAATAAATGAAAATAAAAACAGAATTCAATGATTTGCAAATCTCATAGACCTGTATTTTATTCACAGTAGAACATAGAACACATGTCAGATGTGGCATATCCAATTTTACCATTTCATGAAAAACATGACCTCATTTAGTTGGGACAGGGCCACGTCTACCATTGTGTAGCATCCCTTTGTCTTTTTACAACAGTCTGTAAATGTCTGGGAAGTGAGTAGACCAACCGCTGGAGTTTTGGGAGAGGAATGTTGACCCATTCTTGTCTGATGTAGGATACTAGCTGCTCAACAGTGCTGGGTCTTCTTTGCCCCGTGTCTGTGTTGGGGAAAGACATGCAGTCAGGCCAACTGGAAACGCCAAATTGCCCCTAGGTGTGAATGTTTGTGTATGTATGAATGTATGTGTGTCTGCCCTGTGATGGACTGGGTGCAGGGTGTTTCCTCCATTTCACCTGCTGGGATAGGTTTCAGCTCCACAATACCCACCCTGCCCCTCCCCCAACCCCCCACCCAGGAGGATATGTGCCTTACATGTGTGTGTGTGTACTTTAGAGAAAAATACACCATCTCTGAATGACAGTCAGATCAGATAACACAGCCGTTGTATTGGTTGTTTTTAAATTGTACTTCCTGTTCTTTACAATGCAGGTATCATTCTCTTCAACCCTGGTGAAGGCCCATGTGCTGAAACGCTTGATAGATTTCATCTAAAAGTATGTTTAAAATGTTCCAGGGGGAAAAGGAACTTGATTCCCCTCTCGCATATCTCTTCAAGTTCCTCATTCCTGACTAAATTTCTCACCTTATGGTTTAGCAGACGTCACAAAGGTCTATGTTCATGGAGGTGTAAACGGGTATATATAGAAGGATGAGCTGAAGAAGCTGAGAGAGTCGGGAACCGGCACTCTTTGGTGAGACCTTTGCGTTGGTCCCAGCTCTGACAGGTAGGAACTGGGTCTTATCTGCTTATTACTATGTAAGAATCAAGCCCTTTGAGGACAGTAGTGTCTTTGCAAGTTGAAGGAAGTGAACTGGGTTGTTTTTTAAGATGCAGGGGTTGATTTATTTATTGTTGAGCTGTAAATAAAGTCATTCAGAGCGGTTCGATGTGAAGCAGTAGAGGAACGTTCTATGGACCAGAGAGCCAGTTTATTTACTAGGGCACCTCGATGTGTCTTCAGTGTTTTTATAAGGAATGTTGATGATGGTAAGAAATTGGAGGTAAAAAAAAAATTATAAATGTTTCATTTGGTATTGTTTTTAGAGGTCTTAAACTTTAAAAACTAAAGCGGAGTTGCAAAAGAGCTGTGAAATACACACATACGGATTATTATAGAGGCCAGTTTCCCTGTACTTCATAGAACTTTAATTAAAGGCCAAAAACAGATTGTATAGGCATTAATGACAAACTCTAAGAAACTTTGAGTGCGTTTATGTAGCCAGTCCTCTCTGCATTGGGCTGTGTGAGGAGGACACAGCCACTCTCACTCTGCGTTGTTCACTGACAATTCGGGTTTTTCCTCATATAGCACATGAAAAAGGAAGACAGAATAAGAATAAAATAAAAGACGAAAAAATAGAAAAAGACCAGACCAATAATCACTCTCGCAATATGGACATTGCTACTATCATACGTTTTTATATATGAAAATAATAAGCATGTACATATATATGCTTATTTTCATATATATATATATATACATATAAATAAATAATATTACTCATTGGCCATATAACTTATCCAAAGATACCATTCTGAGATTAGCTCCCTGTTGTTTCCAGCATTTTATGTATATTTTTCACACAAAAACGCCTCCAAAACATAAGAACAGATGAATAAAATGAACGTTTCTTAACAACAGAAGCGACTAAGATCATACCTGGATGTATAAGACAGAGAAATAGTGATAAATTACTCCCAGCCTCGTGTCTGCTTGATTTAGCCCCTCTGCGCACCCAGAAAATCACAGAAAAGGTGGAGGGGTTAGCTTCTCATATCACAGGCAGCTATAGCATGCTAATACTTCTCACTCTTTTACTCGGTAATACATTGGAAAAATACACAAAATCTATCTCTAAAACATAATAAAGATCCCTAATGATATTTCGCATCATATTAAACCATTAATATGACTTTTTATACTATATTAAACATTTGATGACCACTTTATAGCTCAGAACCGAAGCTAGACCACCCTCTCTCCAGCAGTGCTCTAACCAGACTGAAGAGAGTGTGTGTGGCGCACAACATAACATCACAGCCACGCCCACAAACATATATAAAATTTAAAAAAAAAATGGAGAAAAAAAAATTAATATATTCCAATTTTTTTTCTTTTACTCTATTATGTAAATAAATGCAAACAGAGAAGGCATGAAGATTTTGAGGGAAACGTAATGAAAGAAAATAAAACCTGTTACATGCACTCAATAATCCGAGCATAATCAGATTTCTGCACTTATCTGATTGTTCAAATGAACATGTAAACATCATCCTCTGATCTAGAAATCCGATTAAGAAATCTGATGAAGAGAGCTACATTTTAGCTCAGTAATCAGATTTCTCAGTGCGTGTGAACTCTTACTCTGATTTCTTTCAGATTTCTCAGTCTGAGCATGCGCGAAACAGATGGTGTTACCGGAAATAAGCAAACGGCATTGCTGCGAGACGCAACAAAACATTTTTGGAGCGACACTGGAACCAAATACATACTCGATGAAATTAATGATTTAAATATTCTTTATCTTCTGGATGATGTATTTTCATATTTTCAGGTAAAGTGGCGCAATGTATTTAAAAAAAAAAGCCTCAGCATGCAGTTTGAGTCTTAAATCATGTTTACGTCACGTCTTCATCTGTGAGTCGCAAAGCAGAAATCTGATTACTGTCTGACTCATGTAGACCCAGAGTTTTTAGATTATCTGATTACTCAAGTGCAGGTAAGCGCACTGATAACATCTGATTTTCTGCAGTTATCGGATTATTAAGTGCATGTAAACGCACTCACTGCCCATGTCCATGTGTTACAAATGGAATTGTTGTATTTAACTCTTTTTAATGGACTCTCATGATAATAATAACACCAGTTATTCTAGTTTCTGCCTAATCATAATCATAGTGATCATTTTTTAGGTATTTTGCTCAAATTGTTTATGCAGGTCAGACTACGCATTGTGACAAAATAGAAATTGATAATGTCATTTAAATAGAAAATAAAATTAAACCTCTATCCTGAATATGTGTGACATTATTATTCCTATTAATAACATTATCTGTATTGTATTGTAACAATTACATATATAGCATTAGATATCAGTATGAACTGTTTACCTAATTTCATGGCTGAATTGCTGTATGTTAGCTTGAGCTTCCATACATTAGTCTCCTCCTGAGACCAAATCTGAACTGGTCAGTTTGCTTTTTAGTTCTGCTCGGGAGCCAACCAGGATTAGAAGTTACAACCACCAATTGGCATTTTGCAAATTTGCCTCAAATAACTCTTTTTAGATAATCCGATCATAATCTGATTTCTGCAGTTATCTGATTAATTAAATGGTCATGTAAACATCATCCTCTGATCTAGAAATCCAATCAGTTTAATCTAAAAAGAGTTTAAACTCTTTTTTGTCAGTAACCTGATCAACGCACTTACCTGCACTTGAGTAATCAGATAATGTGAAACCTCCAGGTCTACATGAGTCAGACAGTAATCAGATTTCTGCTTTGCAACCAGCCAATAAACCCACAGAAGAAGACGTGATGTAAACACAATTTAAGACTCAAACTTCATACCGTGGCTTTTTTTGTTTAAAACCCATTGTGCCACTTTACCTGAAAATATGAACATACATCATCTAGAAGATGAAGAATATTTTAACCCTTCATTTCGTTGTGAATGTATTTGGTTTCAGCGTCACTCCAAAAGTGTTTGGCTGCATCGCAGCGCTGCTTATTTCCGGTTTGTTTTCACGCATGCTCAGACTGAGAAATCTGAAAGAAATCAGAGTAAGAGTTCAGATATACTGAGAAATCTAATTACTGAGCTAAAATCCAGCCTCTTTATCAGATTTTTTAATTGGATTTCTATATCAGAGGATGATGTTTACATGACGATTTGAACAATCAGATAACTGCAGAAATCTGATTATGATCGGATTATCTAAAAAGAGTTATTTGAGGCAAGTTTGCAGAATGCCAATTGGTGGTTGTAACTTCTAATCCTGGTTGGCTCCTGAGCAGAACTAAAAAGCAAACTGACCTCAAATAACTCTTTTTAGATTCATATTTCCCTAAAGTCTATCTGACAGTGAAATATTCATGTTTCAGAAGTGTTTGTTTTTCACACGGACTTTAGCTTCCTTGAAAAACATTACTCTTTTACATTACATGGTTTTAATGATAGTGTTATTATTTGAGTGATAAGCTGGTATTTTTAACTGCCTGCTGCTTTTAACCCTGTGTTTTACGATGGGCTCTTCGGCCTTTATGTTTTTCTTCTTCTTTTCTTTCAGATTCTGTTTTCCATTCCTCATCACGTCCCTCTTCCAGAGCTCCATCATGATCCTCCTCGCTCCAGTGCTGCTTCTGCTGGCTCTCTCTGGATGTTCCAGTAAAGTCGTAAACAGTTTTATCCAGACGTGTCCTGATTTCTTTGCTAACCCAGGAGGAACTCTGTCTCCTCCAACTGTATTTAGAGGAAATAATTACAAACAGATCTGCCAAATTCGAGGCAACACCTATGGATATGCAACACTGTATGACACAGCAAACAGGATCCCCGTCTACTCAGCCTACAAGTTTGACGGTTTGATGCAATGTACAAGACTGAACAACTGGTACATTGAACCTCAGGTACGTTAATAAGCAATGTGTCACTTTTTGGTGTACATGCATTTTATTATATTATTTTCATGTTTTGATCTTTGCTCGTCATTTTATCAGATCTCCTCTTCTTCTCACTAAACAAATTATTACAGCTTGAACAAATAACTAATAGCCCAAAGATGGCGCCTGAAAGCAGCGTGACCAAGATACAAAATCAAGCTGTTAATGAAGACTACGATAATTCGGGCTATCATAGAGGACACCTGGCTCCAGTCTACCACGCCACGTCGCAGAGCTGCTCTGATGCCACCTTCACCCTCACCAACGCCGCTCCACAAGACAGCTCATTCAACACAGGCCAGTGGAGGAAGACAGAGAAAGATGTGGCTGAAACTCTGGGGGAGAAGTGTAAGGGAAATTCGGCCTATATCGTCACCGGGGTGGTTCCTGGGCCTGATAAACTAAATAACAGAGTTCGTATTCCCAGTCACTTCTGGAGCGCTTACTGCTGTCTAGACAACAATCTGAAAGTGAAAGCTGCAAGAGGTTTCATAGGAGAGAATGAAAATGACCCAGTGCAGGAAATGTCAATCAAGACACTGAATAGAAATCTGAGTGATCTGTATGGTAAAGTTTTCCGCGTATTTGGTGGTAACTGTAATTAATCCGGCTCTGCTCCTTGAGGTTGGTTTCAACATCCAATTCAGTCTCACCAAAAAGAAAAGAAAGAACTCCAAATCATGTTGGAGAACAATCTATGCATCAGAAAATAAAATAAAAAAAACCTCTCTCTTTCTCTCTTTACTTACCTAAAGAAATCTGCGCTGTGTTGATTCATTTTTGCTTTTTGTACTTTTCATGAATCAATTTCTGTCAACGAATTTTCACAAATCACTTTGTAAAATGTTCATCGTTAACATTTTTCTGACTTCAATAAAGCATGTAAAAGAATTAAGTGTTTTTTGGGGTTTGGGTTTTTTATTTCTTTAGGTTTTAGGTTTTACAGCCAATTTGGCATGACCACTTTTAGAGATGTGGCATCACTTGGTATCCAGCAGCATCCATGCAATCAAATACACATAAGGTAGAATAGAATATGGAACTGTATAGCATGTATATATATATATATATATATATATATATATATATAACGTACATAAATATATATATTCGGTAACACTTTCTATGAACGTCACCTTTGTAAGCATCTACAAACACATGTATTGTGCATTCATACGGCATTATAAACATGGTTATAAATATTTATAAAAATGAATTATACTGAATTACACTTTATAGCCACGTTTATTATACATGATGAATTTGTAAGTTGTAAGTTGTGTTAATAACATGTTATACTGTCAGTTCCAAAGAAGTCAGTCCAAGGTTGGAGAGCGTAAAGTAAAAACAAGCACAAAGTTTATTTACACCCTGAGATTTACAGTATTTTATTTCTCAGTGCTGGTGCTGTTAGAGCTGCATCTTCGGGGCTTCAGTCCTGAATATTCAGATGCTCCAAACAGGCCGTCCAGCCTAGAATTACTGCTACAGTGTTCTTTTCTTAACCAGCGCTCTCACTTTAAATGTTACATCACAGCAAACCAAATACTAATGAGCCCCTCTCCTGAACCCCCTCTGACATCACACTGAGTGTGAGGTTACTGTGGAGTGAAGGCCTGGAGAGGGAGAGGTGAGGTAGTAGAGTGATGTCATTGTAAATTTATCCCTCACTGGTTCTCACGTCAAGCGCTAGAACCCTTCACTCTGTAACATCACTACACTACAGTACAGTAATGCTAATTTCTGCCAGCATTCTATTGGATATGCAGTGTTAAGTTAGTGCCAAGCTAACGGTGGTGTACATTGACTTTCCCACATTGGGTAAAACACTGATGGCAGCACTAGTTTAAAATCTGACATACAATCATGCAATTTCCACAAACACTGGCAGTAAAATGGGTTGTACTAAAGAGCTCAGTGACTAAACGTGGCTGTCACAGGATGCCATCTTTGCCACAAGTTGACGAGTGCTTGCCTGCCTAGTGGGTAGAAATATCTATCACTCACAACAGTCCCAAACAGCTGAAATGCATGGTGCCAACAGTAAAGTTTGGTGGAGGAGGGATAATGGGCTGGGGCTGTCTTTCAGGGTTTGGACCCCTCAGTTCCAGTGAAGGGAGACATTAATGCTACAGCACACAAAGACATTTTAGACAGTTATATGCTTCCAACTTTGGGGAAGACCCCTATCCTCTTCCAGCGTGACTGTACCCCTGCCTAAAATGAGATCCATAAAGATGTGGCTTAACAAGTTTAGTGTGGAGGAACTCCAGTGGCCTGCACAGAGCCCTGACCTCAACCCCAATGATCACCTTTGGGATGGATTGAAATGTCAATGGTGAGCCAGTCCTTCGTGTCCAACATCAGTGTCTGACCTCACAAATGCTCTTTTGACTGAATGGGCACAAATTACCACAGACACACTCCAAAATTTTGTGGAAAGCTTTCCAGAAGAGTGGAGGCTGTTATAGCTGCAAAACGCTCTATTATAATATGTTATGAATACTAACTCCATATTAATGCTGATGATTTTGGAATGGGATGTCCAACAAGCTCATATTGGTTTGATTGTCAGGTGTTCACATACCTTTGGCCATTTAGTGTCCAATCAAATGGATAGGGTATGGTACAATATACATGAGTGTAGTGGAAAGGCACTGACCACAAAAATGCTACTGATAGGGCTTGACCTGGGTGAGAGCCTAATAATGACCCTTGTCTGTCATCAAGATGCATAAATGTTCTAGACTTGAACGTGGTCAGTGCTAAAATTTTAGAACCAGTTCTGGCAGTGTTTTCCAGGAGTCCTGGGCAGTCAGGTTAGCAATCCACACTGTAATCACTTTTTATTCTATGTGTAAATTCATTTGCCTTTGTACCTAGTACCTAGTACGTAGTACGTAGAATTAATAAAGTTACATCAGGGGGACAGCCTTCTCATATAAAGCCCCCCAGCTTTGGAATAATCTTCCAGTCAGTGTTCGGGACTTATGGTAAACTGGGAGTGTTGGTGCTGTTGTACCGCTGCTCTCACACACTCACTCGGGTTTGTTGACAGTGGAGCAGAGGGGCGCTGGCATCTCAGGGAGCCCTCCTGTTACCTTTTTGGTTTCTCCCCTTTTAGTTAGGCTGTAATAACTAGACCTGCCGGAGCCTGTGCTTGTCCTTTTCTTTGCCGAGTTGAACAACTGCCCATCCTGTGTGGTCTGATACTGTTGCTTTTTCTGCCTTGATTGGTTGCCCACTGCTCATCAGCCTTCTGGGCCGTTTCAGCCTTCTGGACTGTTTCAGCCAATCATTTTTTCCACCATTGAGCCTCACCCTCATGAACTGACCCTCCCGATGCTGCTGCTGCTGCTGCAGCATAAACTCAAACTATCTAATTAACCATTGCTCCACCTGTTTTTCCCCATTTTGTATTTTAATATTTGATGCTAACGCTGTTTGCTATCCGGTGTTGACCAGAGGAGAGTGCTATATAAATAAACTTTGACTTTGACTTGACCTCAAAGCCGCCAAATATTAAACACGGTGGTGAACCCACAATAGTGTAATCTCATAAGAGTCAATGCAGGTGATTGATGTGCAAGAGTTTTGAGGCCAGGACTACTGAACAAACTCATGTTCACCAGATAAAGTCTTCCAAGTCACCTTCCACGGCATTCCTTCTTAATGAGATACCTAAACATCACTGGACCTTCTAGAGCTCTGGACCTTCTGGAGTGCAAAGCAGGCCTTTTTCATCACTCAAAGAAAGGGGAACATTCTGAATAACAGTCACCACAAGCAGTTTAGAACCTGTATAACAGATTCCAAAAATTCTGGAGGTAAAGTTTGTCTTTTTAAGACACTCCATCCATTTGAGAATGCCATCATTATTTTAGTCTCTGCATAATTCGATAGTTGAGAGCTCGATGTGAAATGGCTCATTGTAAAGCACATGGGTCAGGCTCCAGTCCTCAAGGGCCAAAACACTGAAGACTTTAACATGCTGCCTCATGACACCCACCTAATTCAGCTTATCAGCTAATTAGCAAGACCTTCATGACCTGAATTCAGAGTGTTGGATGAATCCTAATCTCCACAGCACTTTGGCCCGGAGGGTCCCCAGTTTGACATGTTTGTTGTAAAGAAACCTAGTGACTCTAATCTCTTTATAGTGGTGTTGATAGGAACCCTTTTAATATACCAAAAGTTGTGCTGGTCTTAGTATGGAGGCTATTGTTTTTGTCTGTTTGTTACATTTAAAAGGCATGTTTAAAATGTTCAGTGGGAAAAAAGAACTTGATTCATTTACATGATTCTCTTATCTCTTGATGATTCACCAAGTTCCTCATTAACTTCCTGATTAAATTTGTCACATCACGGTGCAGCAAACGTCTCTGAGAACGTAAAGGTGTATACACTATATTGCCAAAAGTATTCGCTCGTCTGCCTTCACACACATATGAACTTGAGTGACATCCCATTCTTAATCCATAGGGTTTAATATGATGTCAGCCCACCCTTTGCACCTATAACAGCTTCAGCTTTTCTGGGAAGGCACACAAGGTTTAGGAGTGTGTTTATGGGAATTTTTGACCATTCTTCCAGAAGCACATTTGTGAGCATGTTGGGAGCATGAAATTGTCCAAAATCTCTTGGTTTGCTGAAGCATTAAGAGTTCCTTTCACTGGAACTAAGGGGCCGAGCCCAACTCCTGAAAAACAACCCCACACCATAATCCCCCCTCCACCAAACTTTACACTTGGCACAATGCAGTCAGAGAAATACCGTTCTCCTGGCAACTGCCAAACCCAGACTCATCCATCAGATTGCCAGTCGGAGAAGCGTGATTCGTCACTCCAGAGAACACGTCTCCACTGCTCTAGAGTCCAGTGGCGGCGCTTTACACCACTGTGTTCGACGCTTTGCATTGCGTTTGGTGATGTAAGGCTTGGATGCAGCTGCTCAGCCATGGAAACCCATTCCATGACTCTCTCTGCACTGTTCTTGAGCTAATCTGAAGGCCACATGAAGTTTGGAGGTCTGTAGCAATTGGCTCTGCAGAAAGTTGGTGACCTCTGCGCACTATGCGCCTCAGCATCCGCTGACCCCGCTCTGTCATTTTACGTGGCCGACCACTTTGTGGCTGAGTTGCTGTCGTTCCCAATCGCTTCCACTTTGTTATAATACCACTTACAGTTGACTGTGGAATATTTAGTAGAGAGGAAATTTCATGACTGGACTTGTTGCACAGGTGGCATCCTATCACGGTACCACGCTGGAATTCACTGAGAGCGACCCATTCTTTCACAAATGTTTGTAGAAGCAGTCTGCGTGCCTAGATGCTTGGCTTTATATACCTATACCTTCCATACCTGTGGCCATGGAAGTGATTGGAACACCTGAATTCAATGATTTGGATGGGTGAGTGAATACTTTTGGCAATATAGTGTATATACAGCATGAGCACCTTCACCCTCACCAACGCTGCTCCACAAAACAAGTCTTTCAACAGACGGCAGTGGAGGGTTACAGAGGAAGCTGTAGCTGAAACTCTGGGGGAGAAGTGTAAGGGAAATTCGGCCTATATCTTCACTCGGGTGGTTCCTGGCGCTGATAAACTAAAGAACAGAGTTCATATTCCCAGTCACTTCTGGACCGCTTACTGCTGTCGAGACAACAATCTGAAAGTGAAAGCTGCACGTGGTTTCATAGGAGAGAATGAAAATGACCCAGTGCAGGAAATATCAATCAAGAAGCTTGATAAAAGCTGAGTGATCTGTATGGTAAAGTTTTCCGCGTGTTTGGTGGTAAATGTAATTAATGCAGCTCTGCTCCTTGGAGGTTGGTTTCAACATCCAATTCAGTCTCACCAAAAAGAAAAGAAAGAACTCCAAATCATTCAGTAAATCAGTGCGTAAAAGAATGAAGTGTTTTTTGGGTTTTTTGGTTTTTTTATTGTTTATTTCTTTAGGTTTTAGATTTTACAATAGATTTGGCCTCACCACTTTTAGAGGTGAACCTAGACAGAGAACCTACTGAAGAAAGTGTTCAGCTCATTTACCCTCATCCAGCTCTCGGTCTGCTGATTGCAGGGCAAATTGTGGCCTTAAACTTTTGTTATTCCTTTCCATACATCCTTCAACTCGGCCCTCTAAAGATTGTTTCTCCATTTTTCTCCTGTAGTCCTCCTTACACAATCTAATTCTTACCTTCAGCTCCCTCTGTATGCCCCTCATACCGTTCCTATCACCAGCCCTAATAGCCCTCTTCTTTTTGTTCTGCGGCCATTGGTTGTTGTTCACAAAGCAACACACAGTCTTGGACGGCACAGCGTTGCTCACCCAAAAGTCTGTCACACAGACTGTGAGAACATTGATCTCCTCATTATGGGGTTCACAAAGAACCTAGTCAGTTGTTTCAAAGCATCCGTTTCAGGGCATCCATAGACTCAATTGACCATTTCCCGAAGGACGTGGTCTCCACGGGTTGCCTCAGTACAGGAGTTTTATACTGAGACCGCAGATGCCCCAGATTGTGGTCTGAGTTTCCCAGTGGAGGAAGTGTAGTTGAGTTATATGCCTCATTGACATTAGCATAAAGGAAGTCTTGTGTCCTCTTTTCCCTGGTGGGACATCTGACATGCAGGAAAGATTGTCAGGTTTAAGCACTCCTTCATGTTGGTGATGACGTCACATCATCAGATGGTGGGAGGAAAAATACAACAAAAATGTTGCCTGTGCAAAAGTTAAGTTACATTTAATATTGTATGTTTTACCTTTTTCATTATGTTAAACATTTTGTGGGGGGAAAAAATGAAACATGTAATCTGACCAGGAGGGTAGTTCTTCAAACAAGATTTCTTATGCCAAAATCAAGGTTGACAAATAGGAGAAGAGCAAAGGACCCTCCTATCAGACGATCCCCAACTTTTGTCATAAGTTATCTAGCTTACTGCAATGCTGCTCTGTGAAATACCCCTCAGGCCTCTTTCATCACTCAAAGAAAGGGGAACATTCTGAATAACAGTCTACTTTCCCACCACAAACAGTTTAGAACCTATATGACAGATTTCAATTAAGACTTTAGAAATTCTGGAGGTGAAGTTTGTCCCTAGTTTTTTTAAGACACTTCATCCATTTGAGAATGCCATCATTTTTTTAGTCTCTGCATAATTCGATAGTTGAGAGCTCGATGTGAAATGGTTCATTGTAAAGCACATGGGTCAGGCTCTAGTCCTCGAGGGCCAAAACACAGGCAGTAATCGGATTTCAACTTTGCAACTGTCCAATAAACTCAAAGAAAAAGATGTAATGTAAACGTAATGTAAAACTGCTGCAGCTTTTTTTTTAAACACATTGAGCTACTTTACCTGAAAATATGAACATACATCAGAATATTTAAATCCTTCATTTCATCAAGCATGTATTTGGTTTCAGTGTCACTCCAAAAGTGTTTTGCTGCATCTTGCGATGATGCTGCTCGCTTATTTCCGGTACCGCCGTCTGTTTCGCACATGCTCAGACCGAGAAATCCGAAAGAAATCAGAGTAAGAGCACACATGCACTGAGAAATCTGATTACTGAGCTAAACCCAGCTCTCTTTATTGGATCTTTTAATTGGATTTCTAGACCTTACTCTGATCTAAGAATCAGAGTATTATGTTTACATGACCATTTGAATAATCAGATAACTGAAAAAATCTGATTATGATCAGATTATTAAGTGCATGTAAACACACTCAATGTCTCAGGTATAAGGCAACATATTCTTCTTTGTTTAGTTATGTAGTCAGTAATGATGAACTCAAAGAAACACTGACATGCTCTGCCTGAATGTTACAGACAGAATTGTTGCTTTTAAAATTTCTTTACTCTGTTTTCTTTGCTCCTCAGCCTGTGTTTTTCCTTTATTTGCATGCATAACCCAGAAAGTGGAGCAGTTTTGTTTCCTTTTTTTCTCCAGCAGATTCTGTTCCTCATCACGTCCCTCTCCTGATCGTCATCATGAACCTCCTCACTCCGGTGCTGCTTCTGCTGGCTCTCTCTGGATGTTCCAGCGAAGTCGTACCTGATTTTACCCAGACGTGTCCTGATTTCTTTGCTAACCCAGGAGGAACTCGGTCTCCTCCGACTGTGTTTACAGGAAATAATTACAAACAGATCTGCCAAAAACGAGAGATCACATATGAATACGCAACACTGTATGACACAACAAACAGGATCCCCGTCTACTCAGCCTACAAGTTTGAGGGTTTAAAGAGCTGTATCAGAATAGACAACTGGTATATTGAACCTCAGGTATATTAAAAGCAACATATCATGTTTTGGTAAACATTTACACCAATCAGGTATAACATTATGACCACCTCCTTGTTTCTACACTCATTGTCCATTTTATCAGCTCCCCTTACTATATAGGTGCACTTTGTAGTTCTACAGTTACAGACTGTAGTCCATCTGTTTCTCTGCATACTTTGTTAGCCCCCGTTTACCCTGTTCTTCAGTGGTCAGGACCCCCATGGACCCCCACAGAGCAGGTACTATTTGGGTGGTGGATCATTCTCAGCACTGCAGTAACACTGACGTCGTGGTGGTGTGTTAGTGTGTGTTGTGCTGGTATGAGTGGATCAGACACAGCAGTGCTGCTGGAGTTTTTAAACACTGTGTCCACTCACTGTCCACTCTATTAGACACTCCTACCTTGTCAGTCCACCTTGTAGATGTTCACAGGACGCTGTTGGCTGGATATTTTTGGTTAGTGGACGATTCTCAGTCCAGCAGTGACACTGAGGTGTTTATAAACTCCAGCAGCACTGCTTTGTCTGATCCACTCAGACCAGCACAACACACACTAACACACCACCACCACGTCAGTGTTACTGCAGTGCTGAGAATGATCCACCACCCAAACAGTACCTGCTCTGTGAGGGTCCATGGGGGTCCTGACCACTGAAGAACAGGGTAAACGGGGGCTAACAAAGTATGCAGAGAAACAGATGGACTACAGTCTGTAACTGTAGAACTACAAAGTGCACCTATATAGTAAGTGGAGCTGATAAAATGGACAATGAGCTTAGAAACAAGGAGGTGGTCATAATGTTATGCCTGATCAGTGTATTTTATTATATTATTTTCATGTCATGATGGAAACTCATCCTTAAACAGACGTCCTCTTCTTCTTCTCACTGAACAAATTATTACAGCTTGAAGTCCTCGGCCCGAAGATGATATCTGAAAGCAGCATGATACAAAATCAAGCCATCAATCAAGACTATGCCAAAAAGAGCCGCCCGATGTACGATAAAGGACACCTGGCTCCAGTCCACCATGCCAGGTCACAGAGCTGCTCTTACGCCACCTTCACCCTCACCAACGCCGCCCCACAGGACAGGTCTTTCAACAGAGGCCAGTGGAGGAAGACGGAGGAAGGCGTGGCTGAAGACGTGAAGCACAAGTGTAAGGGAAATTATGTCTACATCGTCACTGGGGTGGTTCCTGGGCCTAATACTCTCAACAACAGAGTTTGTATTCCCAGTCACTTCTGGACCGCTTACTGCTGTCTAGACAACAATCTGAAAGTGACAGATTCACGTGGTTTCATAGGAAACAACATAAACGTCTCAGTGGAGAATAAAACAGTCAGTGAGCTAGAAGGAAAGCTGACTAACCTGTATGGTAAAGGGACTTTCCAAGTATTTGCTGGTAACTGTAATTAATCCAGTTCAGTCTCACCAAAAAGAAAAGAAAGGTTTAAACTCCAGATCATGTTGGAGAACATGCTATTCATCAGAAAAAGCAAATCTCTCTTTTTTCTCTTTACTTACATAAAGAAATCTGCACTGTGTTGATTCTTTTTCACTTTCTGTATTTTTAATTAGATTTCTGTTAATGAATTTTCACAAATCATTTTGTAAACTTCATTGTTCTTTTCTCTTTGACATCAATAAAGCAAGTAAAAGAATGAATTCTTACAGATCAGTGTGTAACGTCATTAGAAGAGCAGCGCTTTGAATTATAGCTGGAATCTGATAATTCTTAGAGTCACTAGTTTCACGAGTTTTTGAAACTGAATTTACAGATAGAACACACACATTTTTAGAATTTAAACTTTACAGACAAAAAAAAAAAAATTGCCTCACCAATTTTTGGAGGTGTGGCTCCACTTGGGTTGCCATTTTCAATATTGAAAAATCGGCCTTGATCACCTGGCCCCCGCTCCAAATGTCTATGTGGTCAAGCTATGTGCATAGATGTGAGGAAACATCCAAAATGCAGTGTGGAATATAGAGTGAAGCAAAGTGTAATACCATGTGCAGAATAATACGATGTAAGATAGCACATGTGGTGTAATACAGGATACAGAGCAGTGCTGAAATAAATAGAGTGTAATTTATATATACAGTTAACAAGAATATGGTTCAGTATATACAGATGCAATATATACAGTTAAAATTGTCTATTTGCACCCATATGAAAAGGTGCTGTTTCAGAATTTGTGTAAAAGCTTTTGGAAAAGGGTGGGTTGATTTTGCCATATAATTTTGGATGCTAAGTTGTATAAAACCTTCGAGGATGCATTATCACTACATTTTAGTCAATAATGTGGTGTTTGTGACACTGTTCAATATTATTAGCTAAGACATGTTAAGATAAACTGGCCGAAATCTACCGGGTAACACCAAAGTCCTCTATTAATGCTGAATTTTAAACAATGGCTTTAGCTAGCTGGCTGACCAACTTAGCAAACTTATGTTGACAAACTATGAAGAAATCCCTGCTGAAATGACACTCTAAGGTAACTGGTGTGGCAATATATAGGCATTCATTTTAGTCTGTGGCTTTGAGTTAGCATTAGCTAGCTAACTGTTTCACATCTGGGTGTAGATAGTATACACTGCTTCTTATACCAGTGTGCAAATTGCAGTCATGACTTGAAGTGAGCATGTTGGGAGCAGGAAATACATTCAAATGTGCAGGAGGTGCTCCAGGACAAGGGTTGGGAACCTGTGGCCATATGGTACCATATAAACGAGTTCAATGGAAAATTGACCTCCATGAAGCTTTGAGAATCCAGTCCCTGGAGTTGAGTGCTGACGGTTTTAGAGACAGTCCTGACGATTTTTCTAGAAGTGTGAGATCCTGGACGGTCACTTTTTATTCTACATCAAGATGACTTTAGAGGAAGCCACAGCTCTTATCAACTGTTAAACATGCAGTTAGCAGATTATACTGTTAATTGATCCTGGAGACAGCAGATTATACTATTAATTGATTCTGGAGACAGCAGATTATACTGTTAATTGATCCTGGAGACAGCAGATTATACTATTAATTGATTCTGGAGACCGCAGATTATACTGTTAATTGATCCTGGAGACAGCTGATTATACTGTTAATTGATTCTGGAGACCGCAGATTATACTGTTAATTGATCCTGGAGACAGCTGATTATACTGTTAATTGATTCTGGAGACCGCAGATTATACTGTTAATTGATCCTGGAGACAGCAGATTATACTGTTAATTGATTCTGGGGACAGCAGACTATACTGTTAATTGATTCTGGGGACAGCAGATTATACTGTTAATTCATTCTGGAGACCGCAGATTATACTGTTAATTGATCCTGGAGACAGCTGATTATACTGTTAATTGATTCTGGAGACAGCAGATTATACTGTTAATTGATCCTGGAGACCGCAGATTATACTGTTAATTGATCCTGGAGACAGCAGATTATACTGTTAATTGATCCTGGAGACAGCAAAGTATACTGTTAATTGATTCTGGGGACAGCAGACTATACTGTTAATTGATTCTTAATTGATTACTTCTCTGTACTGATAACTCACCAGCCAAGCTTTGCTGCTCCAGCCAATCCGTCCTCCCTACCACCTTGGAGAGCCTCAGTTTTTAAAGTGTCTTGGCTCCTCGCCTGATCCAGTGCACCTGTCCTTTGTCTGACAGCAGCTCCACCTCTCCACCGCCACAGGCGCAACACCTTTCACAACACTTAAAGGGAAATTCTACACATATTTCAAAATTTCTATCTCATAACATTGAGATGAGGAACTTACTGACTCTGATTTCTTTACAGTAGCAGTGAAAGGAATCCTTTTAAGATACTCAATGGAATGCTGGGGCGTAATATGGAGGCTTTTGTTTTTGTCTGCTTGAGGCATTTAATTAAAAAAGTATGTTTAAAATGTTCCACGGGGAAAAAGGAACTTGATTCCCCTCTCGCACATCTCTTCAAGTTCCTCATTCCTGACTAAATTTCTCAGCTTATGGTTTAGCAGACGTCACAGAGGTCTATGTTCACGCAGGTGTAAACCTGTATATATAGAAGGACGAGCTGAAGAAGGTGAGAGAGTCGGGAACCAGCACTCTTTGGTGAGACTTCTGCGTTGGTCCCAGCAGTGACAGGTAGGAACTGGGTCTTATCTGCTTATTACTATGTAAGAATCAAGCCCTTTGAGGAAAATAATGTCTTTGCAAGTCGACGGAAGTGAACTGGGTGGTGTTCTATGATGCAGGTATTTCACTGATGTTTCGAAACGTCGGGCATTAATTTTATTGTTGAGTCAAACTGTAAAGAAACTTAGTGACTCAGAGCCAGAAGTCACTATATCTACAACTCAACCATAGACAGTTTATTTATCAGTGAACCGACACGTGCCTTCTGAGTTTTTATATGGAATGTTGATGATGGTAATGTAGTAGTAAAATATATAAATAAATGAAGACATACATTCACACGTATTTAAAAGTTTCATAGGGGGTTATTTTCAGAGTAGGGGTGCACCTATACAATATTTAGCATTGATATCGATCCGAAACTGGCCAAACTCACTGGATCAGATATCAGAAGAAAAAAAATACAATCCGATATGATCCATTAGTCTAAACTATCATGTAAATGCTTTACTGAACTTTGCACAAAGTTGCACTTTACATTTTATTTTGAATGTATTGTGCTGACCAATCAAAGTCATGTTGTGCGATATATATATATTTCCTTAGAGTAGAACATTTGTTTCACAGTTTGAGCACGACGGTATTTAGATGGCTAGGTCAAGCAAAAAGCATCCAAATATATTGTTAACAGCATAGTTGTTTAAGAGAGGGAAAACGATGGTATCTGATTGGTATCGGTATTGGCAGATACACAAGGTTGGTATCAGTATCAGACATAAAAAGTCGTATCGAGCCACCCCTATTTTAGAGGTAATAAACTCTTCCAAAAAGTGAAAAAAAAAAGTTCATAGCTAAGTTGAAAAAGAGCTGTCAAATACACATACACAGAATCTTATAGCTGTCACTTATGTTGTATATTTTTGTTGTACATTATAAAACTTTGATAATAATAACACTAGTTATTATTAGTCCTTCTTATTTCTTCCTAATTATCATCATACTGATCATTATTAAGTTTTTTTGCTCAAATATTTTTGCAAATCAGACTAAGAATTGTGAAAATATGGAAAAACCCAATTCAAATAGGCAATAAAACCGAATCTCTGTACTGAATATGTATGACATTATTCCTTTTAACCCTCTACTGCATGCATTATGAGAGCAATTAAAAAAAAATTCAGTTCACTTTTCTAGCATAAAATGGTCCTTGATTTATTTTTTCAGAACTGATTTTTAAATTCAAAAACATTTAAAAGAAATAATGTAGGGTTCCTTTTGGAGTATGTTGCCTTGAGTCAACATTGTGTGACAATGGGAAGAAATTATATAGAGCCGTTTTCCCCGAAGTGATGAGACCTGGCTTGTGACTGGCAGAATCTATTCCACTGTCGCACAAAGTTGCTTCTAGGCAACGAACATATTTCTGCAAATTCTCATAACAAAAAAAAAATCCATACTGAATGTTAAAAAAGAGGTTTAAATGTGCTCACTAGGAGATAGTATGACCAAGTACATGCTTTTCATTGACTCAAACTCTTCCCTTTACTGTTAAACCTATCGTTGTCTTTATATATGTATAATGTCATTGTAAAGTGCGGAAAATGAATTTGTTGCCCTGAGGCAACATTGTGCAATAGAGGGTTAATATTTTTGTTTTTGTGTTTTAATTCCCCACATTGGTTTCCTCCTCACTCAGACAAAATATGAACCCCTGGTCCGTTTCACACAGGAGCTATGACGCTAATATAGCTAACAAGTAATAAAAGCTACAACCACCAATTGGCATTGCGTAAACTTGCCTCTAAGGATGTAAACAGTTTTTAGACTACTGTTTACCTACAAAGCTTCCTGAAAGTGAAATATTCATTTTTCAGAAATGTTGACTTTGAAAAATGGTTTTAATATTAGTTTTATTATTTGAGTGATAGGCTGATTTTTGACTGTCTGGTGCTGTGTTTCATGCGAGCTCTTGAGTCTTTGTTTCTCTTTCTTTTCTTTCTGAAGATTCCGTTCCTCATCACGTCCCTCTTCCCGATTTCCATCATGAACCTCCTCACTCCGGTGCTGTTGCTGCTGACTCTCTCTGGATGTTCCAGTAAAGTCGTACATGATTTTACCCAGACATGCCCTGAATTCTTTGCTAATCCAGGAGGAACTCGGTCTCCTCCAACTGTATTTCCAGGAGATAATTACAAACAAATCTGCCAAAAACGATATAACAAATATGAATATGCAACACTGTATGACACAGCAAACAGGATCCCTGTCTACTCAGCTTACAAGTTTGAAGGCATAATGGGTTGTAGAAGACTAAAGAAGTGGTACATTGAACCTCAGGTGTGTTAAACAGCATTGTGCATTTGCATTGCTATCATGCTATGCTGGGTAGTTTTCGGGTGATGGTGCAGTGTATCTGTGTGACAAAGGGAAAAACAGCACAGCAGATTTAGGGCTGCACATTCAGGGCAGAAGGTCCACCAATTTAGCTTTGCACGATATGCCTAAATTGCCGCTAATACAGAATAATGCATTCAAATCCTCTGCATTCAAGTTTAATTTCACTTTGTTTGTTTGTACAAAAAACAATGTGTTTAGTGGGACATGAAGATTGGATAGTAGGGCACTAAATGGCCCCCTGACGCCGAGCCTGGTACAGAATCACAATCGGAAGTGCAGAAACCTGTTAAAACAGCATGTAAATTAAATGTAAATGCAAATGTTTACAAAATTAACTTTGTATTCAATTCAAAAAACAGAACACAATGATTTGCAAATCTCATAGACCCATATTTTATTCACAATAGAACATGGAACACATATCAGTTGTTGAAAGTGAGACATTTTACCATTTCATGAAAAACATGAGCTCATTTAAAACTTGATGGCAGCAACGCATCTCAAAAAAGTTGGGACAGGGCCACGTCCACCATTGTGTAGCATCCCTTCTTTTTTTAACAGTGTGTAAATGACTGGGAAGTGAGGAGACCAATTGCGGGCGTTTTTGGAGAAGAATGTTGTCCCGTTCTTCTCTGACGTAGGATTCTAGCTCCTCAACAGTGCTGGGTCTTCTTTGCCAGATTTTTTGTTTCATGATGTGTCAAAGGTCTGGAGTGCAGGCAGGCAGGTTCAGCACCCGGACTCTTCTTCTGAGAAGACATGCTGTTGTAATGGCTGCAGTATGTGGTTTAGCATTGTCTTGCTGAAATATGCAAGGCCTTCCCTGAAAGAGACGCTGTCTGGATGGGAGCATAGGTTGTTCTAAAACCTCTATAAACTGTTCAGCCTTGATAGTACCTTTCCATCAGAGATGCAGGCTTTTGAACTGTGCGCTGATAACAAGCTGGATGGTCCCTCTCCTCTTGAGTCTGCAGGACACGGTGTCCGTGGTTTCCAAAAAGAATGTCAAATCTGACCACAGAACAGTTTTCCGTTTTGCCTCAGTCCATTTTAAATGAGCTTTGGCCCAGAGAAGACGGCGGCGTTTCTGGATCGTATTGACATGTGGCTTCTTCTTTGCATGATCCAGCTTTAACTTGCATTTGTGGATTGCACAGTGAACTGTGTTCACAGACAATGATTTCTGGAAGTGTTCCTGAGCCCATGCAGTGATTTCCAGTACCTGTTTTTAATGCAGTGCTGCCTGAGGGCCCAAAGATCACGAGCATCCAATACTGACCGTCTATGAGATTTGCAAATTATTGCATTCTGTTTTTATTTACATTTATTTACATTTTACTTTTTTTTGGAATTGGGGTTGTACATTTTAAAAGGGCAGTAAAATGACAGAAAAAAAACTCTAAATTACTTGTTTTTGTTTCTAAACAAACTTTTGCAGCTTGACAACAGTGCTGCAGGTGGAGAAATGGCACCTGATCGCAGAATACCACCATTACCAAATCAAGCTCTCAATGCAGACTACAGTGGGACACGCAGTCACGGATATGAAAAAGGACACCTGGCTCCAGTTTACCACGCCAGGTCGCAGAGCTGCTCCGATGCCACCTTCATCCTCACCAACGCCGCTCCACAACACTACAGCTTTAACCGTGGACAATGGGAGAGGACAGAGAGAAAAGTGGCCAAATATCTGGAGCAGACGTGCTCACCAAATAATTATACTTTTATTGTGACTGGGGTGGTTCCAGGCCCTAATACTCTAAATAACAGAGTTTCGTATCCCCAGTCACTTCTGGACCGCTTACTGCTGTCTAGACAACAATGGGCGAGTGAAAGCTGCAGGTGGTTTCTTAGGAAAGAACGTAAATGTCCAGGTGCGGTATATAACAGTCAGTAAGCTAGAAGGATGTCTGACTACCCTGTATGGTAAAGGGCCTTTCCATGTATTTGGTGGTAACTGCAATTTATCATTCGTATCAGTCTCACGAAAAAGACCAAGAAATTGATTCATTTTTGCTTTTTGTACTTTTAATCAATCGATTTCTGTCAATGAATTTTCACAAATCACTTTGTAAAATGTTCATTGTTAAGATTTTTTCTTTCAGACATCAATAAAGCAAGTGTGTAAAGTCAGTAGAAGAGCAGCGCTTTGAATTATAGCTGGAATCTGTTCATTCTTAAGCCAGAAACAATACATAACCAGTGGTGGACGAAGTACACAAACCATGTACTTGAGTTAAAGTCGAGATAATCAAGGTGAAATATTACTCCAGTAAAAGTAGAAGTTCCTCCCTTTAGACCTCCACTTGAGTAAAAGTACAAAAGTATTTGCCTTCAAATGTACTTAAGTATCGAAAGTAAAAGTACTAAAAGATTAATTATGGCTCTAATGTCCTGCTTCATTGACTCATTTTAGGTGAAAATACTCCAGTGTCACTCTTGGCAAACCAGTCTTTTAATAGAATGTCATTAATTAGTCTATTAAAATTATCATAAGCACAAAACACTAAAGACAAACAGTTTCCATTAGGTAGAACTGAGTGGCTCTGAAATAACTTTTAGTTAACAAGCAAAGTTTCAGTTTAAGATTTATTTGCAACTTAGTTACAAGTTTAAGTTTAATAAAAACTTGCTTTAAACTCAGGTTCACAAATGAGTTTCCTTTACTAAACTGCATCTGTACGTCTCTGTTCACAAACATAAACTAGAAAAAACGTATTTACTATAAAATGAAATAGTGTTTGTATAAATTCAGAAAAAAGACACGTCAGTCACAAATGCATATGTGTACATATTTCTATATTGTGCTCTATTTACACAAAGTTAGGTTAGTTCATCATTTATGTTTAATAGACTCTCCCAAAATTTTACGCTGCTGCACTGACGTTGAACCGTGTGCTGCGCTGGGTTGGTATGACCAACAGGTCAAAACAAGCTCAAAACAAAGTGCCCTGATTGGTGTGCTTCCTTCACGCTTCTTTCGTTTTGACATGTTTTGTTTTTATACACTCAGAAGCCAAAAGGAACGACAGATTTCTCATAATGTAGAGGAGTAAAAAGTAAGATATTTGACTTTGAAATGTAGTGGAGAGAAAGTAAAAAGTCACCAAAAATGGAAATACTTCACGCCAACACAAATGACAACGCCAAGCCAGCGCCTTGAAACGCTCAGTCCTTCTGTATAAATTCACCTTGTGTTTTTTACGCTGCTGTGCTGGTTAAAACACTCTGGACACAAGGGGGCGATAGAGGACAAATCAGAGAGGAATCTACTGCTATTCCAACATCCACCAGAATTATCAATCTGTAATGTCTTCCTATTTTCTCAAACACTAGAGGGCGCTCCAGAGCGAGTTAAGAGGGAACATTTGAGCAAAAACATAGTTTATAAATGCTTACACACTTTTTTCTATGGAAAACATTTTAAACATTTTAACACCGCTGTTATATTTTTTGAGCGCATTTGAACTCGAGTTATAGGAGTTTAAAACAGCACCTCATGTACATTCATAACGTCAGTGAGCGTGAATGAGCTGCTCTGTTCACTGACCAATCAGCACTCAGTAGCAGCAATGCTAGTGTCTTGCTGCCATCTCCAGTTGTTTTAAACTTCTCAATTATTGCCCTGATAGTGTCGTTTTAGGGCCACTGTTAATAAAAATAAAAATAGTAGACTTCGAGAATAAAGTCGTAATGTTTCGAGAAAAAAGTTGTAATATTTGCAGGATAAAGTGGGCTAACTGTAGGGGGGCTGCCATAACGCGTCGGGGTCTCGGTTGCTGTACTGGCGCCGGAGCTCCACTCTCTCCTGTCTTTCTGTGGATCATTTTGATCATTCTCACTGTCTGTGAAACTTCATGCCCTCTTTGAATGGTGTGGAGATGTAGCCCCCCATAGCCGTGTAGACGACCCTGCCTGCGATTCTCCTTCCACAACACAGACAGACAGTTTGCTCCGAGTCCGTCTGACTCTTTATTCTAGATAAACACGGTTTCCTGCTCAGCCGGTTCTTATACTAATAACAGGCTGGTGCTGATGAGCAGGAGAGACAGGGAGACTGAGTGTTTCTTTATGGGTGAATCGATATGAAAGTTGAACTCCACCAACTCACTGCCCCTCATTTAACACGGGGAGGAGGTGCTTCCCTTTTTAAAGCCTTTGGCCACAATACTGCAGCCTTTCCTGGTATTAATGACACTTTAATGTCATAATTCTACGACTTTTATCTCAAAATATTATGACTTTTTTCTCGAAACATTACGACTTTATTCTCAAAGTCTACTATTTTTATTTTTAGTAACAGTGGCCCTAAAATGCTGTCATAGGAAATGGGCATCGTGACCTAAGTACATCAAATCAAATCAGATTTCAAATCAAATCAGATTTATTGTCACATCACAAGAGTACAGGGACACACGTGAGTGAAAAACTTGAGTGCGAGTTCCACAAATTATGCAGAGAACAGTATTTACACATAGATAAACAAAACTATAGATAGGATAGAAGAATAGATAAAACCAATTTAACTAAAATATATACATGTAATCTTACACAATAACTTAAAAATAATAATATTGCACTGGGAATGTAGAGTGAGTGTAATCAACTATATACTATATATAGTAATGGATATTACAATGCTATGTAGATGTGCAAATAATCACACTAGGTGTGGAGGTAGAAGATGGTACAGTAGGTGGCAGAGTATTTAGTAAAGTGCAAGGTACAGGAAGTTAAGTGGAAGCGCAGGGGGAGAGTATTGTCTTTGGATAGGTATTCAAAGTCCAGCTATGCAAGTAAAGTGCGGGAGTACAGTGGGTGCACGTACGTGTAATGGGAAGGGTTGGGCTGGGCAGAGCAGTGATTACTGGCTGTTCAATAGCCTGGTTGCATGGGGGAAGAAGCTGTCTTTGAGCCGACTGGTTCTGGCTTTTAAGCTTCTGAGCCTCCTACCACTTGGCAGCTGAGAGAACAGACAGTGACTAGGATGGGAGGGGTCCTTCATAATCCTTCTGGATTTCCTCAGGCAGCGACTGGTGTATAAATCCAATAGGTTAGGGAGCTGAACCCCGGTGATGGACTGTGCTGTCCGCACCACCCTCTGCAGAGATTTCCTCTCACGAACAGTACAGTTCCCGTACCAGGTGGTGATGCTGCCCGTCAGGATGCTTTCCACAGTGCAGGTGTAGAAGGTCTTAAGGATGCTGGGGTTCAGGCCAAACCTCCTCAGCCTTCTGAGGAAGTAGAGGCGCTGGTGGGCCTTCTTCACCACCTGTGAGGTGTGCACTGCCCATGTCAGGTCCTCGCTGATGTGAACACCGAGAAACTTAAAGCTGCTGACCCTCTCTACCGCAGTCCCATTGATGGAAATCGATGGGTGTACTGTCTCCTGCTTCCTGAAGTCCACGATCAGCTCCTTGGTCTTACTGACGTTTAGAGAGAGGTTATTCTCCTGGCACCAGTTTTCCAGGATTTTAACCTCCTCTCTGTAGGCCGATTCATCGTTGTTGGAGATCAGGCCCACAACTGTTGTGTCGTCAGCAAACTTTATGATGACGTTGGAGCTGTGTCTAGCAGTGCAGTCATGGGTGTACAGGGAGTACAGGAGCGGGCTGAGCACACAACCCTGGGGGGCTCCGATGTTGAGGGTCAAAGAGGAGGATGTGATACTTCCCATCCTTACCACCTGCCGTCGGTCCGTCAGGAAGTTCAGGATCCAGCTGCACAGTGTGCTGTTCAGACCCAGATCCCGGAGCTTGCAGTCGAGCCTCGAAGGAACGATTGTGTTGAATGCTGAACTGTAGTCTACAAACAGCATTCTCACATACGTGTCCTTCTTTTCCAGGTGGGAGAGGGCAGTGTGCAGGGTCAGGGCGATTGCATCGTCGGTGGATCTATTCCGCCTATATGCAAATTGCAGTGGGTCCAGGGTGGCAGGCAGTGAGGAACAGATGATATCTCTGAGCAGCCTCTCAAAGCATTTGCTTACGATGGAGGTCAGGGCAACAGGTTGCCAGTCGTTCAGACAGGTAATACTAGCTGTCTTTGGAACTGGCACAATGGTGGCTAGTTTGAAACTAGCTGGCACGACCGAGAGAGACAGTGAGGTGTTATAGATGTCTGCAAAAACTCCTGCTAGTTCCCTGTAGCAGGCTTTAAGCACTCTCCCGGGAATGCCATCTGGTCCTGCTGACTTGCGTGGGTTCACCCTCTTGAAGGCTTTGCACACATCAGCTACGGAGACGGAGGGGGCGTTGGGATCAGCGGTGGGCGGGGCGCTCTCCAGTGGTGCTGCGGGAATTCCGTCGAAGCGAGCATAGAAGTTATTAAGCTCGTCCGGCAGATCAGCGCTGGTACTGGGCAGAGTGCGAGAGGCAGTTTTATAGTCAGAGATTGTATTTAACCCCTGCCATAAGCTTCGTGTGTTGGCTGTGTTGAACTGTGCTTCCACTTTCATTCTGTACGCACGTTTAGCTGCTCTGATGGATTTACGGAGAGCGTAGTTGGATTGCTTGTACTCCTCCGTATTTCCCGCTCTGAATGCAGCGCTGCGTGCGCTGAGGGCGGAGCGAACCTCACAGTTCAGCCAGGGCTTCTGATTGGGGTAAACGCGGACTTGTCTGCAGGGCACTACGTCATCAACACACTTGCGTATGAAGGCGGTGACTGTGTCTGCGTACTCGTCCACGCTGCCCAACGAATCACGGAACATTTCCCAGTCCACATGATCAAAACAATCCTGCAGCATAGCGTCTGATTGGTCAGACCAGCGGCGCACCTCCCTGGTAGTGACCGGCCCCCGTTTCAGCTTCTGCCTATAGGTGGGCAGGAGCAGGATGGAAGAGTGATCTGATTTGCCGAACGGGGGTCGGGGGAGGGATTTGTAACAGTTCCGGATGCTGGAGTAAACATGGTCTAAAATCCTGTCTTTCCGAGTGAAACATGTTACGTGCTGGAATAATGTCGGACAGTAGGTTCGCAGGTTATTCCGATTAAAGTCCCCCGCAACAATAAGTGCAGCCTCCGGGCGCGCGGTCATCTGCTTGCTGATAGCCTCGTGTAGCTTCCCGAGCGCGAGGTCCGAGTCCGCCTGCGGGGGGATGTACACCGCGGCCAGACAGAGTCCCATTATCTCATGGGGCCTCAATATATTAATTTGTGGCCTCAGTATACTAACTTGTGGCCTCAGTATGTTTATTTGTGGCCTCAATATATTAATTTGTAGCCTTAATATTTTTATTTGTGGCCTCAATGTATTAATTTGTGGCCTCAGTATACTAACTTGTGGCTTCAGTAAATTTATGTGTGGCCTCAATATATGAATTTATGGCCTCAGTATATTAATTTGTGGACACAGTGTGTTTATTTGTGGCCTCAGTATATTAATTTGTGGACACAGTGTGTTTATTTGTGGCCTCAGTGTATTAATTTGTAGCCTCAATATTTTTATTTGTGGCCTCAATGTATTAATTTGTGGCCTCAGTATACTAACTTGTGGCTTCAGTATATTTATGTGTGGCCTCAATATATGAATTTATGGCCTCAATATATTAATTTGTGGCCTCAGTGTATTAACCCTGGCCTCAACGTATTAATTTGTGCTGTCAATAACTTGTGGCCGGCGGCTGTCCACAACATGATGTGCTGAACTTTGACAGCTCCTGTCAGCACCTTGGAAAACTTGAAAAAATTCATTTATTGAGGTCAAGGTTAATACATTGAGGCCACAAATTAATATATTGAGGTCAAGGTTAATACACTGAGGCCACAAATTAATATATTGAGGTCAAGGTTAATACACTGAGGCCACAAATTAATATATTGAGGCCACAAATTAATATATTGAGGTCAAGGTTAATACACTGAGGCCACAAATTAATATATTGAGGTCAAGGTTAATCCTAAGATGTGCTGGAACATAAACAGACAGACACTCTGTGATGTAAGCGGAGCTTTAAGGTCATTTATAGCCTTAAAAACTAGCAGCAGAACTTTATAATCTATCCTGAATGATACAGGCAGCCAGAGCAGTTCTTTTAAAACAGGAGTGATCTGATCTCTCTGTTTTGTTGTTGTAAGGATGCTGATGCATTTTGTACGAGTTGTAAGGGATGTATTGTTTTTTTAGGAAGTGCAGTAAGAAGATCATTACAGTGATCAACTCTGCTGTAACAAATGCATGAACAAGTTTCTCTGCATCCCTCTGAGAGAGAAAAGGCCAAACTTTAGCGATATTTCTCAAATGATAAAAAGCTACTTTAGTAACTGTGTTTACTTGCAGGATAAATCAGAGCTCAGAGTCTAAGATCACACCCAGGTTTCATACTTCAGGTTTGGTAAATGAAGCTAAAGAACCAAGTTTCTCATAAATCATTTTTCTCTGAGTTTCTATAATAACGATTAGTATTTCAGTTTTTTTTTTTTTATTTAAAATTTTGTGACATCCACTGAGAAATAAATGACACACAGCTGGTCATTCTGTCTACAGAGTCTTAATCATCAGAAGAAATAGAAATGTGTAAACGGGTGTCATCAGCACAGCCATGAAAATTTATATTATGCTTCCTAATGACATCACCTAGAGGTAGCATGTACAAAGAGAAAAGCAAAGGCCCTAAAACTGAACCATGAGGGACTCCACAAGAAATGCCAAGTCTTTTTGATGAATGATTTACCAGTGAAACCATGAGCTGCCTATTACCTAAATGGTTTAAATCATATTCTAAAACTGTGCCATATTGGCCGACCCAGCATTCAAGACAGTGGCTAAGAATCTTGTGATCTACAGTATCAAAAGCTGCACTAAGATAAGATCAGAATAGAGAGATGCAGGAATGCTTAACAATATATTAATTATCCAAAATGATCAGCGAAGCTACACATATCCTCTGAGTTTATATATGCAGTGTTGATTACAGCAAAATAGTGATAGACTTAAATGAATTTTTAAATAAAAATATTTGGAATTGTACACTAAATTCACATAAAAATGTCATATTTAAGTGTGTTTTCTGTAGATGATGTATTAACTTCTTTTCACTTAGAAAATCAACAAAATATGTCATTTAATGTTGTACTTTGAAAAAAGTCATATTCACAACTATTTCACATGAAAACTTTTAAGAGCTGTTAAACACTTCAGATGTCTGGTTTCCATCACTACCACTGTGACTGTCTGTCTGCTTCTTCACCATTTAATTACACACAATTTTGAAAAGTTCCTCTTTAACCCTGTCACAATGCCGTGGGTAATTCTTGCATGCGCCGTGCTTCTCTCTGCTTCTTCTTCACCACAATATCAATCAATAAAAGAGTTATTAATTAATGGTGACATATTTATTATTGAACATTGGGCTTATTTGGGACAAATGTGAGCTTAAAAGGTACAAACATACAAACTGAACTCTGAACTGTTTTCTAAGTGCTACAGATATTTTTTTAATGTTTAATGTTATTTATCAGACATGTGCTCATTGTTCTTTGGAAGGACACTTTTCCCATGCTTAAAATGTCCTTTATTACCAGTACTTTACATTTGTAAATGTAACATTTGTGGGACACAAATGGCACCTCAATTGTGGAATCATCCAATCTTACATTTGAAACCCATTTTTTAGGAAGCTTTCCACACTACTTCTGTAAGAAACTATGCAAAACTTGGTGGGCGTAATTGGATGACTTCCTCCAAGCCATTCTCAAAGCTGAAATGTACGATGGTGTTCTCATTTGTAAACTGCTTATAACAGAAGCCTTTGCACAAAGATGCCTTATTTTGTATGAGAAGAGCAAAACCTGGACCTTTGAGCAATGGAAGAAAGTGAAATGGTCTGAAGAGTCGACTTGAATCACTTTTCGTCATATTGATGTTTTGCCTTTGGAGAAAACCACAGCTCTTATCAGCTGTTAAACATGGTGGTGAACCCATAATGGAACAATCTCATAAGAGTTGCTCTGTATTGTTGTAACTGCCAAGAATTCAAGGCCTGGTTCAACAGTGAAGAAATTTGTGGCCACCTGTTGAAGCCGTCCAAGTCACCTTTGACAACCTTCTTATTGAGATGTGTAAACATGGCTAGACCTTCTGGGGCTCTGAACCTTCTGGAGTGTAAAGCAGGCCTCTTTCATCACTAATAAGGAGGAGAACTTTCTGAACAATAGCCTAATTTCCCACCACAAACAGTTTAGAACCTCTATGCCAGATTCCAAGAAAGACTGAAGATGTTTCAAGGCTTTTAAAGGAGAGATTTTTTTTTAACGTTCTGCATAATTCAATCATTAAGACATAAGCAACGTCATTCAGAGTTGTTTGATATGAAATGAATCATTGTAGAGAAACCTACCGACTCAGATTTCTTTACAGTGGTGGTGACAAGAAACCCTTTTAATGTACCAAGAGGTGGTCTTGGTATAGAGGCCATTGTTATTGACTGTTTGAACCATTTCATTTTAAGGGTATGTTCAAAATGTACCGTGGGAAAGAGGAACTTGTCTGAGGATCAGCAGTGCGTGGCTTCATCCACACCACTTGTCGGTCTCTTTAACATTCACCAAGTTCCTCACCAGGTTCCTCACTAAATTTCTTACCACATGGTTTAGCAACCATCACTGAGGAACTGTACTTTCATCCAGGTTGTAAAAGTGTATATATATATAGAAGCATGAGGTGAAGGACAGAGTCAGAAACCAGCACTCTTTGGTAAGACCTCTGCATCAGTTCCAGCACTGACAGGTTTGATAGTTTTGTTTGTTCATCTGTATTTTAAGCAAGAATCAAGTGCTTTGAGAAAAACAATGTCATTTACAAGTTCAAGGAAGGGAATTGGGATGTTTCCATATTCAGTGTTGCAGATTTTTAAAGAATTTTTTCCACTCGATTCATTGACGTTTCTGGATAACTCTATTTTTGAGATGTAAACAAAGTCATTCAGAGCAGAGAAAACACCAGTAATCTGGATTACAGTGGTAAAAAAAAACAATTTAGGCCAAAAACTTTTCTCAAAACAATCATAAAGCAAAGTGTAGTGTATTCATAACCACTTCATGTAACAACTTTCTGTGAGGGAGATTTTAGAGGCATTAAACTCTTCAGACATGACTTGATGAATTTCTCCAAAACGCAGCATCTCACATTAAACCACTCTGATTGAATTTGTTTATGACTTAACAATTGAATTATGCAGAAATTTTGAAGTTTAAAGCAGCATCTTGCCTCAAGTTGAATCAAGTTGTAGTCACAAAGCCCTCTGATATGTTCAGTTTCCCAGGGGGTAAATGCAGTTGTGGCTTAGCGAAATAATATTAGAAATAATAGATTTAAAAAATGTCCTCTAATCTAAATGTGGTCAATCAGCCAAGACATGTTCGGTAAGTTTTCCTCTTTAGCTTTGCGCTGGAGCTACGAGTCTAATGTAGATAATAAGTAACAACCACCAACTGGCATTGAGTGAACTGCATACCTGAATTACCACAGACTTTCCTCAATGGATGTTTCTTTTTCAGAAACTTGTCAGTTCTTTCATTGTATTGTGGTATTTTGAACTAACATGACCATTTTAAAACAAGGAATTTAATCCTGTATTATCAGGAGTGTCATAAAGAGCTCCTGGGCCTTTATATTCTCTTTCTTTTCTGTGCATAACCCAGAAAGTGGATCAGTTTTGTCCCTGCAGTAGATTCTGTTCCTCATCACGTCCCTCTTCCTGAGGTCCACCATGAACCTCCTCACTCCGGTGCTGCTTCTGCTGGCTCTCTCTGGATGTTCCAGTGAAGTCGTACCTGATTTTACTCAGCAGTGTCGTGCATTCTTTGTTAACCCAGCAGGAACCGTGTCTCCTCCGACTGTATTTCCAGGAAATAATTACAAACAGATCTGCCAAATTCGAGTGAACACATACGAATACGCAACACTGTATGACACAGCAAACAGGATCCCCGTCTACTCAGCCTACAAGTTTGACGGGATAAAGCATTGTGTAAGAAACGGCAGCTGGTATATTGAACCTCAGGTACGTTAACCAGCATCTGCATTTACACTATTTTCATGTTATGCTGGTGGTTGTTGGGTGACGGTGCAGCGCATCCATGTGACAAAGGTTAACAGAGTAGAGTTAGAGCCACACATTCAGAAGAACCACATTTACAGCCAGGAGTGGATTTAGTGACTCTGGGGTCTTAGGTAAGCGACAGGAATGCACACTTTTAAATTAGTTGGGGGCTCCCGAGTGGTGCCGCCATCTAAAAAAAGCAAAAAAATGACATCTTAGAAGATGAAATTGTCTTAAATCCAGTCAACACATCTAATATTTCTCATTTTGAGATTGTTGTAAGAATATTATGAGATTATTGAATTTATTCCTGCATTTACACAGTGCAAAGACCGACCCTGCTTACAGCAAATCATCAAAGCTCTGCCCATTTGGAAAACCCACTGGTTTAGCTTTGCACCACATACAGAGCGTAAAATGCTACTAATACAGAATAATGCATTAAGTGTGGCAGAAAACAGCAGCGTACTTAAAGTTTAGTTTCACTGTGTTTTTGCCGCCTGGAATTTTGGAAATTTGTGTAAAAAACCGAGCCTTTAGTGGGGCATGACGATTGGATAGTAGGGCATTGCCCCTCTAAACAACCCTCTGATGCTGAGCCAGAAGCACAATCTGAAGTGCAGAAACCTGTTAATACAGAATGTAAACTGAATGCAAATGGAATTCATTACATAACTAACTACGTACTTAATGCTGCTGTTATGTAATTACATTTAAAATGTAGAGCAAAATGATAGTAAAACCTCTCAAATAACCCCTTTTTGTTTCTGAACAAACTATTGCAGCTTGAAGGCCAACATTATGGCCCAAAGATGGCATCTGAAAGCAGTGTGACCCAGATAAATAATCAAGCTGTCAATGAAGACTACACTGGGACGAGCACTCATCACTTTGTAAAAGGACATCTGGCTCCAGTCCTCCACGCCACATCACAGAGCTGCTCTGATGCCACGTTCACCCTCACCAACGCCGCTCCACAGAACGATAAATTTAACAACGGAGAATGGAAGAGAACAGAGAACGCCGTGGCTAAAGCTCTGGGGGAGAAGTGTAAGGGAAATTTTGCTTATATCGTCACCGGGGTGGTTCCTGACTATAAAACGCCTCCTCTAAAGAACAGAGTTCGTATTCCCAGTCACTTCTGGACCGCTTACTGCTGTCTAGACAATAATCTGAAAGTAATCGCTTCAAGTGGTTTCATAGGACAGAACATAAATGGTTCCGTGGTGACGCAAATGTTAGTCAGTAATCTAGAAGGAAATTTGACTAACCTGTATGGTCAAGGGACTTTCACAGTATTTGGTGGCAGATGTTAGTAATCCAGCTCTGCACCTCGGAGGTTCAGATTGGTTAATAGTTTCAAGATCCAATTCGGTCTCACAAAAAGAAAAGAAAGAACTCCAGATCATGTCGGAGAACATCCTATGCATCAGAAAAAGACAAAAAAAACCACTTTTCCTTTCACTTTTACTTACATAAAGAAATCTGCACTGTGTTGATTCATTTTTGCTTTTTGTACTTTTAATCAATCGATTTCTGTCAATGAATTTTCACAAATCACTTTGTAAACTGTTGATTGTTAACATTGTTTTCTCTCTGATTTCAATAAAGCAAGTAAAAGAATGAATTCTTACTTCTCAGTGTGTGATGTCAAAAACCATTTTTCTCAGCTGTAACACTCAAACCAAAGCCAAGTGTGTGTTTTCTTTAGATTTTAGATTTCTCAGCCAACAAATTTGGCCACACAACTTTTTGAGGTGTGGCGCCACTTGAGTTGCCACATTCAAAGTGGAAAAATAAGAGAAATTAAAAAGAAAAAATGTTGGCATTAACAAACCCTGCAGCTGTAACTTCATGAATTAGTCATGAATTAGATTGAAGTATGTGTACAGATTACTGAACAGGAAAAGGATAAGTTTAAAAACAATGTTTTTAATGTATCATACAGGCACATGCACAGATATAACTGTCACGCCTCTCTCCAGCCTGGCTGAAACTACAGCCAACGCGGCTGCTCCGGACTACAGTTCCCAGAACCCCTCCTTTCATCACATGACTCGGGACTCTAACCGATCAACCTATCAACGCTTTCTGGACTTCTAATCACACACACCTGTTTCTCCCTGTATATATCCAGCCTGTTTGTAACCCCTTATTGCGAAGTATGGTCACCTTGTTGTGCATACAGAGTGTTTCTGTGTGTTATCTTTTCTCTGTGTATGACTCTGTTCTGTTCATTACCTTCATTTCTGCCTTGTCCCTTTGCTCAGTTTTGGTTTCCATTGTTTTCGACTCCCTGTTTCTGTTTTATGACTGTAATTTCAGATTCTCCCTTTTGTATTAAAGTTCCTAACTTCTTTATCAGCTTTTGCTTTTATGAATAACTGCTTACTTGCTGATCACTAGTTAGCAAGTTAGCTTACTTTGTTGTACCATACTTACAGTTTGGCATTTTAAGTTCATTTTCTTAAAGAAACTCGTCAGTTGCCAGCCTGCCTTCTTTTAGCTTTCTCTCTCACTGTTTGAGTTCTTTGCACTTCTGAAATCCAACGATTTGGGTTTTGGTTTCACTTTGGTTTCAGAATCGGCGAAAGCCATTGACTGCTCTCTTTAGCAGCTTTATTTACAGATGTCAGATGTTGGAGTTGTGGATCAAACCACTTTTGCATTTTTTGGGGCGGGGGGTGTTGTGGTAGCAGGAAGCAGACAGATAAGCCAAAAAAGGATAAGCAGAACTTATCATGGATGTTGTTGTTTATTTCTAACAAAGCATCAAAATTAGAAACCAAAAGCAATTTATTTGCAAGGCTTTTGGAGGGCCCTGGTTAATCAGGTCCACCATTACCTGCAGTCCAATGCCCCTGGCTATAGCGCTATGTAACTTTGTAGGAGCAGGTACAAGACCTCTCAGGAGAACTGCGTGTAGCACTCATACCCTCTAAAATTTAGAGGACAAGGCTATGGGCTTGCAGCTGAAGTATATTTAGAAAGGAACCTTTTTATAGAAGAAGGTAAAAACACTCTTAATATTGAGTATAAGCTGATGTCTGAAGTTCCAAGTATCTAGGAGTTCCCTGCGTGCTCTGTTTGTGCAGAGAATGTGAACCAGGGGGGCCTCTGGGTCCATAGCCCCTCAATTTAAAGGTCCATAGGAACGGGGCCTCTCACTTTCTCCCTACTTCTCTTAGGTCCAGATAGATGAGATCATTTTAAAAAGAACCATATGCTCTGTCTCCTGTTTCAACAACAAGAACCATATATATATGCTGTTGGTCAGTCTGTTCGGGAGAGGACATTTAGAATTGGCACGGATCCTCTCTCAGGTGCTTTATAGTGCTTGATATGATGCTGTTTTACTATGTAATAAACCGTTTGCTAGCAACTCAGTATCGGCGGAGTTTTTCTTCACAACATCTACACACCATCGCCACTAAATAAACAACACAGCTTTAGGAGAAAGGTATAAGGTTTGCTTAACCCCAAAATGACAATCAATCTGATTGATTTAAACAGCAATTTAAACAAAAATCCAATGACAAGATGCTTTATTGTCATTGTACAGAGTACAACGAAATAATATAACTATATAGCTACAATATAGCCGTCAAAGCTCATAAGCTATTCATAGTACCAACAACCAACACAACCTTTGCCATGTTAAATGTACAAAGCCCAGTTTGGGCCCACACACTCTCTTTTGTTCACACAGACAAAAAAAACTAATCGTTGCAGGCCTGTGCGTTGCTCGAGTGCAGTTTGGCTAATCAACTAGCCCCTTCTTTACAACATACAACTTACAGTTGAATGGCGGTGAAGGAACGGAGCAGTCGAGGAGCCGTGCGGAGAAAAGTCCCTTTTCTTTCTCGGCTGAGCAGCGCTGCGGCAAACGTGACAATCTTCGTCAGAAGACCCACACAGCTTTCTGGTTGCTGGTGGGTCTATCTGATCTTGCTTTTGGGTTGGAGAATCAGCTTGTTTTTAGCAGAAAAGGTCATTCTACAGAAACGTCCACTTTTCTATCTCTCCATAGGTGTCACTGGTGTTACCAATCCTCACTGGTGTTACACATAATAAAGGTAACACCAGAGACATTTTTAATAAAAAATGCATTTTACAAAATGGCTGCTACAGAGCATCAAACCACACATAGTCAATCATAGAATGTCCACTAAAATATGTCATTTAATCCATGTGTAATCTGTTTTTTCACAATCACCTAAGAACAAAGTCGGTCACACCAGTGACGTCAGCTAAAGGCTTCATATGAAATCATGAGCTAAAAGAGAAAATTTCTGATAACTGAAAGACACAGTGGTGCTTTTCTTCCTAGATCTTCAGAAAACAGGTAAAAGGAAGTCAAGTGACATCATTAGTGTTAATTTAATTCCAAAATTAGAGATTTTTTTGTTACGCGGTAACACCAGTGACACGACTCCTGGGGACCACAACTTTCATTATATATTTTATAATATTTATTTGGCCTTTTTTTCCTTATGTCATCATATATCATCAAATCATCAAATCATATATTCCATAGTCATGTATACATTATTGCAGTTAAAATTGCAGAAAAACATGGTTTTACTTGAAAATAAGGCACTCGCCCTTCACACATGACTGTGGGGACGAGCTCTTCTGTGGTGCTTGGAATTCTAGATAATTGATTTAAAAACCAATATTGCTAAATTGAGGCTCAAGATGGTGAAATTGTTAAAATAACTAATTGTTTTATTTTTAAATCTAAATAAATTGTAACCCTAACATTTTTTTCAAGTGTAATATATCTTTACGTTATTTTGACATTTCTGTAGAACAACCCAGAAACAAGCCAGTTTACACACATCAGCTACAGTTTGTAAGAAAGCCAGTTCACAAGCACATAAAGGCTACCATGAAACAGTCAGTTAGTTCTGGCTCGCCCAGTGCTTAAAACAGCTATAACTCACAGAAAATTGTGTCTTCAGTGAGAATTATACTGCCCACAGGTTTGCTCTGAACCTCTCATACAAAATAAAAGAGTCTGAAAAACACTATTGCTAAGTTTTTTTTGTTTTTCTCGCTACCCTCTCCTCTCATTTTTCCCGCGGTCTTCCTCTCTCTTCTACTCCCCCTTTACTTTCTTGTCCGCCCTTCTAACCCATCAAAACTGGGGAAATCTGTGACTGACATTCTGAATACTCAATCAGTCGTTTCAACTGTCCTAGTCATTCTAAAAGGATAGGTTGTTTCTCATTCGCAAGTCTTTCTAACTTTAAAATGACAGTGCCTTAATGGAGTAATTTAAACACTAAAGTACTTATGAATCAGACTAGTAAACTTACACAATTATACATTAGCCATCATCATTTCTTATTCTGCACAACCAGAGCACAATGCCACTGGATGGCATTAGATGGTATGATTTGAGCAGCTCTTTACACCTCCACAGGCACCATACCCCAATAATACACCCGTGCACAAGGTATCCAGGGGATGATTTGAAGGTTATCCCAGCTCTTCATAGCTGAGTCATACCACTGGTCTCTTCTCTCTTCAGCCTTTTAATGGACGCACATTCTCAAACATCATTTTGCACACCTTCGGCTGCTGCTCCCTTTTCTACATGAGTTCCAGGAACTGCATCTAGGGTTGGAAATGCCTCCGCAGCCGTAACCTCTGCGGGATGAATGGTATCATTCCTTAGCCCTTCAGCTTGTTCAGTGCAGCTTGCCGAGGGGGCTTTTTGACTGTTGTTGGCACTAGAATCCTGGCACACAGCAAATAAGTTGAAATCCTGCAACAAGTCTCCGCAACTCTGGCCTCCACTACGGCTCACAGGCTGGAAAACCTAAAAATCAGAGTCCTCTAATTCAGTGAAGGTCAACTCAACCTCCCCTATTCTGGATCCTGCAAGCAGTCTTAGGCTCATGAACTGGCTGGCTTTTAATCTTTTGCCACTGTGGCCTAGTCACTCGTCTCTGGGAAGGACCTGGTGAGTCAGTGTCCACTGGCATCCTCACCAGACATCCAATAGACAGGAGATGATTGTGATGGACACTTCTTACCCCTCCAGCTCCACTTTCTGGCTTAACTTGGTAAACAGGAAGGTTTTCCACCTTTCATATGTAGGCGAGCACACCTAACTGACGTACTTCTTCACTTGGGCTATTGCTAGATCAGAGTTCTGTGCATCTCAAAAGTGACCGGCGCTTTGTAGCTCTAGGCAACCTGTATCCAGGTGAGTCGGAAAAACATAACAGTCAGGGATAGCAGCAGGTGAAATACCCAAGAACTGAGCACATCTGGGAGGAGTTCCATGCCGCCCACAACGCACTTGTTTGCAAAGAGCCTTATTGCTGCCAGCTAACATGTCTCGCCATTCCTCGTCCTCCTAACAGACTGGGGGTGCGTCATTTCCCCATATTGGACTAAAGAGTGAAAGAGACACAGTTTCCTCTAGATGTATTTTCACTCTGTGCCTAACACACTAATTTTCCTAACTGTTGGATATTTCATGTGCTTTTAAAGCTTTTTAACATTAACCAAGTACAGGCAAAGAGGAAGAGGTACAGTCAGTAGATGGCTTTCCATCTCCCTCCATAAGGGGGCGTCTACTACTGTAAAATAGAGCATCAGCATTCTCCACTGTGCTACTCAGTAATACCAGAGCATACTGGGGCATCTAAGCCCTTGTCTGTCATAGGGTTTGTACAACAGTGATGGTCGCAAGCTGGGGCATCTGTTGTTCCATAAAAAATCTGATGAAAAGTCAAACACAACAGCTTAGGAAGTTTGTTCATTTTGAGAGTATTTATTTTCCCTTTTAATGACATATAGACCTATAGAAGTTCATCTGTCTACTGAATTAGACATTTCATGCGCCACTGATCTGTTTATTTTCTACAATATTCTCAAGACAAGGATTTGAATGCCCAAGTATGTGAAAATCGTAATTGAGGTTGTAGGTTTCAAATGTCTCAATCTGATCAAACAGGGCAGGGATAGATTTTCCCAAATCTTTGAGAGATACTGATATCATCCACATATAAAGCCAGACGGTGCTCCTGCTGTCTTATGGTTATTCCTGAAAGGTTATTATGGGTTCTTACGGCAATTCCTATGAT